GACAGCCGTCCCTGTGCACAGCCCCGTGCCCCGTTCTTAGGGAAGACCCCTGGCACCGGAACCAGAAGGAGGAGTTAACAGTTAGTTAACGTTTTCACTGCTTGTGGGTAGGAAGGGGGAGGTTAACGGAAACGATACGGCACAGTGATTCAGTGAGTGCAAGCTCAGGATAACTCAACAGCAAAGAAACATAACCTGACTACAAAGCAGGCTAAGGATTGAATAGCTATTTCTTAACAGAAGATTCATAAGTGGCCAACAGCTATATGAAAAACTCCTCAGCATCACTCATGATCAGGGAAACACAAATCAAAACCACAGTATCCCCTTATACCTGTCAGCACAGCTGTTATCAAAAGAACAAAAGATAAGAAGGTGTGGACGAGAATATGGGGAGATTAGAGCCCTTGCGCACCGTTGGCGGGAATGGAATGCGAACTGGTGCAGCTACTATGAGAAACAGTATGGAGGTCCCTCAGAAAAATTAAAAATAGAGCTACCATTGATCCAGCAGTCTCACTTCTAAGTGTTTATCCAAACGAGTGAAACCAGGACCGAAGAGATAACTGTACTCCCACGTTCATCACGGCATTATTCGCAACAGCCAAGGTGTGTCCATCAGATGAGTGGACAGACGAGTGAGTAAAGAAAGCGGAGCACACAGTGGAATGCTAGTCAGCCTTAAAGAGAGGGAAATTCTGCAATATGCAAAAAACCTCTCAACACGAGATTTCTAAAATAGTCGAGTTCGTAGAATCAAGCAGTGGGATTTCCCTCACCAGTGGTTTGAGTTAAGCAATACCTACACCTGTAGTCAGCAACACTGTACCGTATACTTACTTTTGTTAAGAGGGTGGTGGATCTCCTGTTAAATATTCTTACAGTCAGTAGTGTAATGCTCTTTACTGCCCAGTCTTGCAGTGAGGATCGGGGGGACCGTATCTACGAAACACTTTGACCAGTAGTTGTGCATCCAGTAAATGTTGCCTATGGTTATTAATCAGTGTTGTAGTAAGAAAAGAGTGGTGTTTCTCACATACAGCATTGGCTATGGAATCAGAGCAGTGAAGGAAGTCACATACAAAGTTGATTGGTGGAGATGAGTTTTGACCCCCATCTTGAAGGATGGGGTTGACTGAGATTGGCAAAAAGAAATCAGAAACACATTCCAGGTAGGGCCCTACAGGGCAGGAGTCACAGGCTCGTGTCCACTCCTCCAGCAGGGTTTCCTCCATCGGGGCTGGTTTCTGTACTTCCAAGCTCTTTATTTCTTTCCATCATTTTAAAATGATGAAAATCAGCTATCGCCATGACAACACAAAGCAATTTGTGAACTCTGGACGCTTTGTTCTTTACTCAGAAGCGGTGTTCTGCCGAGGACACTTAAGGAAATATTTCTCGTTCTACTCCTCTCTCTCTGTCTCAGTTCCATTACCCAGTTCATAATGAGATTGATAAACTATCAATAATAATTAGACACTGTAGTGGAATGAATCCCAGTAGAGTCAATACATACGAGCCAGAAGAATCTGTAGCAGTAATGTCAAATGTGTGCTCATTTTAAAGTGACTCATTTAACAGCTTCCCATTTGTTATTGAATCTGCATAGTGTATTCGGGCAGAGCACAGAGATTTTTAACAGTAGAAGAGATTAAAAACAGAGCCATCAAATTAATTCACCTTTTCCACCTGTCACAGGCAAATCCAAAAAGATAGGTAAATTAGCCCTGGACTGTGTTGTTACCTCTTTGCTCATTAGGCATGATAAGCTCTGAAAACAAAGGATGGGACCCATGAACTGTTCATAGAGGTTTTATCCTACACTCCTTGATAGATATTAAGACACTGACATGCAGGATCCTCAGCCTCTGGAGGAAAGGCTCACTACCTGTTGGGTTTTCATCAGGAGATAGCCCTAACTTCTCACAGGTCGTCCAAACTAAGCTGTCAACTGTTGCAAGACTCTTACTAGCAAGCCGTCCTTTGGTGACCAGAAGCTCACTTACTCACAAAGTGGCCCATTGTATGTTTAGATTCTTATTCATACTGAGCTGAAGCTTCTCCACAATTTCCAAATTTGAATTTTATTACAGCTGGGCTGTGTGTATGTATATGTTTAATTTGCTCATTTCCTAAACAACTCAGAACCTGAGGAAGATGTGGTCGGCAGGAATTGGCCAGGTCTGGGTCTACATGTAAGGTACACTTACTGTAGACATTTATTTCCTCTCTAAATTAGGAGTAAACCAAATCCTTTATGGGACCCTCCCAGTAGGATCCTTTCATGCCACTTTCCCTAATAGATTTCAAAGCAGGCTGGAAGTGGAGGGACGTCCAGGGTCACACTAATATCCAGGCCACTGTCCAGGGTCACACCAGTGAATGGACAGTGGAGCCAGGACTAGAACACCTAGACACATTTGGAAGCCAACCTCTGTTCTTCATGTGGGGTCAACCACCCGCAGACTGCGCCGCTGTGTATGTGGGTTAGTTACACAGACCTGGCTGTGGCAGAAGCTGAGAGTGAAGGACAGGGCAGCACATTTCCCCGCAACCCCTCCGGAACTGGGCGCTGTACGGAGTCACAGCCTCGGGGGCCTCTTCCCCTGGTCCTGGGGACCGTTTTGTGATGGTGTATGCATGGGGGGAGAGAGGAGCCCTAGGTTAAGTCCACCTTTGGGCTCTTGTGCATACTGCTGCTGTGAACACTGGCGTACGAGTATCTGAGTCCCCACTCCGATCCTTTGCACGAGTACCTAGGAGGGGCATTGCTGGGTCCTAGGGTAATTCTGTGTGTAGCTTTTTGAGGAAAAAGCGTATGGGTTTTTTGTATTTCAACTGTTACAAGTGGGAAGCATAGGTCTTTATTAATTAAAAGGTATCTATTTTATCAAAGTGAATGTGAAGAGCTGTAAATATATGCAGTCAATCCATTCCTCACCTTCCTTTGAGTCCCTAACAATTGTCATCAGTACAACTTATTTGACAGTTCATCATAGAAGGCTTTGTGACATCCATTATTCTCTTTAACCGATTATTTTAAAGCTTTTACTGTTTAACTTGTCATGTTTTTATACAGTCCCCCACTGAAATTTTAATCACCTCGAGGGCAGAGGCATGTATTATATCTCTTTGAACAGGAATTCCCCATAGCACCTACCACAGATCTCCAAGATATCTAATGAGTTTTCATTTCTTTCATATCAGTCTTCTGGTTTATTCATAGACTAGAAACTTCTCCATCAAATCCATACCTTGATAGAATCCACTTTGCCTGGATCTGTTTTGGCAAACCTGTTTTCACATGTTAAAGGAGGTAACACGACCAGTAACAATGATAATAGCAGCTAACTTTTATACGCTCACTACACGTCAGACACTCTTCAAAGCACTTCCGTGTGTGTTCTCGCTTCTCAAAGTCAGCCTATGTATGGAGGTACCGTCGTTATCCACGTTTGACCGATAAGGAGACAGCCACTCAGAGGTTGAGTATCTAGTTGCCCAAGGCCACACAACCAGCAGGTGCTGAAGGTGGGCCTCTGGCTACAGGGCCCATATTCTGAGCCACAGACATGGTTAGGGAGGGACCTTCTACCCTACAGCAAGAAGGACAAAATGTGCAGCCGCTGGAAGAATTATTCAGCCCAGATGTCAGTGGTGCCAGGCTTTGGGGAGCAGGGGGGGTTCAGACCTTCTGCAGGCTCACCTCCCAGCCCCTCCAGCCTTTTGTAGGTCCTTCCACTTAACCGGCTTTCCAGGGCTCTCGAGCTTGCCCACTGCTCTGCTGCCCTTAGGGTGGCAGAGATCTATCTTGGAAAGAGTCTGGCCTGTGACTGGCCGCGTGACCTTCAGCGAGACACCTGGGGGAGGGGGGTTGTGGTTCCATTAGGCGCTCCATAAATAGCAGCTGCTTCTTTTAGCAAATTAGTTGGAAACTGACCATCTTATGTAGGCAGTCGATATTTCTTAAAAATAGATGATCAATATACAAAAATAGATGCAAATCCATTTTTAAAACCTTCACAATAAGCAAATTCCATATCCATCATTCCACCAGCCTGTCCTGGAGGCAGACAGAATTGGTTCCCAGAGGAGCCGCACCAACATAAATATCTCAGGAAAGAAAATGCGCTGGCCACAAGCCATCCAGAGCTCGTTCCTCCCAATGAGCGTAGAACGAAGTCTCAGATACAGGAGGAAAAGAGATTCTGAGCAACTCTCTTGTAGGCATCATCCCCGTGGGGGCCCTTCTGACCTCCCCTAGACACAATGCCGTCCCCTCCCTGGTCCTTGGCCCTGGCTGGGGGGAAGCTTCGGGGGGCCAGGCCTCCCCCTGCGAAGGGGACTCTCAGACGTCTGGGTGGCCTGCGCCATCATCACACATAATACCCCACAGCACAGACGTGGCTGAGGGTGTCCCGTCCAGCTCCCGATCTCTCTCTCCCAGCATGTCTGAACCGTGTTGTGTGTGGTCAGCCTCTCAGGGCCTCGCTCTTCATCCACCCCTCTCTCTGCATCCTGCTTCCTCTTGGATGTTTCGCTCCCTCCTGCTTGAGTTCGCTGATCTCCCAGGCCCTGAGCCTAAGCTGATGGGCGCGCCCCTCCCAGACCAGGGCCTCAGGCTGCGGGGTCTCGCTGGGCTTTCTCTGCTTACTGAGATGTCCCCTCCTGGTGACTCAAAGGGACTGCCACACAGCTGTGGGCTACAGGTGCCTCCCCTGCAGGTATGCTGAGCTCTGCTGCAGGGGGAGAGCCCAGGGCCACCTGGAAGCATCTCCCCTGGTTCCAGAAGCACCTGTGGGCCCAGCTCCAGCCCCTTTCTCCTGTCTTCACATGTCCCCCCGCTGCTGGTTGGACGGGTGATGCTTGTGTGCCTAGTCTCCCCTCTCCTGTCTCAGAGCACCGAGAGGGGGCTTCTCACACAGCCAGTTCTGGAATGCTGCTTGCTGTCTCACTTCACAGCCGCCTCACGATTCTGATTTCTCCCTTTCCGTTTTCAGCACCGTCTCCAAGCAGAGAAAAAACGTCATCAGCTGTGTCACGGTCCACGACTCTCCCTACTCTGACTCCTCCAGCAACACCAGCCCCTACTCCGTGCAGCACCGTGCTGGGCACCACACCAACACCTTTGACACTAAGGGGAGCCTGGAGAACCACTGCCCTGGGAACCCCCGAACGATCATCGTGCCACCCCTGAAAACCCAGGCCAGCGAAGTGTTGGTGGAATGTGATAGTCTGGTGCCAGGTAATTGGGGGCCGGGGGAGGCCAGGAACACCTCTCTGCCTCTCTGCATGCTGGTTTTCTTGTTGTGTTGTGTGAGAGCTAATGAGCCCCGGGTTATTGTAGCTCCTTACCCAAGGATTTCGCTCAAGTAGCCAGGGTAGGATTCCGCTTAACATCACGTTGTATAAGCAGTGTTTTAACTTTTTTATTTCTGTAATGAATACCTTGCTGACTTGACAGCGGCTCTCCCACTGACTAGGTTGATAAAAAATATGAAATAAAAGCCACCCAGCTCCCTATTTGCTGGTCTGGGATGACACCTGGCTTAGGGAGATCCTGACCGAGTTGAACAGCTTCCTGTGTGGAAAGAACCTTCTCCGAGTGTTGGCAGGTGAGGGTGACGTAGGCTTACCTCGGCATCCCCTCAGAGCTCACTGTTGGGAGGAGAGGTCATAGCGAGTGTGCTTGTCTCCTCACATGCTGCTTGAGTAAAAGGAGTCCTTCCATTCTGTGAAGGCCTAGACTCTAGAATAAAGGCTGAGAGCGTAACCTTCCAAATACACTTAGTGGCTCCCCCCAGATTTGGTAGTACCTCTTCAGTGACTCCCTTGTTCATGCTCACCAGTGGAAGAATTTAGGGAGTAAACCGGAAGCCATCTGCTTTTCTGCACAAACCATCACCAGCCCATCCAAGGCAGACAGCACCTTCACGATAGCACTATTTAGGAGGAAAGACGTACAAACTGCCAAAGAAGATTTTGTTTAGATTCAGGGAGCTATTCATCAGGAAGGACCCCCGTCTGTGTCACCTGCTGCAGGAGACCTTGGAACCTTCTTGGGGTGGTCACCACACGTAAGACCCACTAGGCATGGGCCATTCAGGTTCTGCCGCTGAGAGTGACCTGAGGGTGAAGAGCAGAATTCAGGATGGGGTCTTTAGGGACTTTTCTAGCCCAGTGCCATAGGCGAGCCCACATAGTGTGGGACACAAGGACATCTCTTTCCAGAACCTTCTTTCTCTTACCAGGCAAGGGTTTCAGTAGAAACCTTGGCAGGAAGGGATACTCTCTAGAACCGGTAAGGCAAACAAAGCTGTTCACCCAGGAGACAGGACTCCTTAGAGCAGGGGCCCTCATACTTTTCTGCTCATATATCCCTTAAGTAATTGTTTAACACTATATCCATTGCACGTTTTTAAGTTTAAATATTGGCAAAGGATATCATTTTTGTCATGTTATATGTCGTGTCACTGTTGAAGTACTTTGAATATGTGTGTCAAAACCTCAGAGCTACAGAGTCAACTCATCCAATACGTGGGGACACTGCCTTGTCCCCTCATGAGCAGCCACTCCTTGTCATCAGCCAGGCAGCCAAGCTGATTCACGTCTGTCAGAACTGGCTTCCCTGTAACAGCCACCTCACCTCTGAATTTTGTTTCGTGAATGGACGGATAGAGTAGGGACTTTCCAAAGCATCTGTAGCCTGAATACGATAAGACTGGACAGCCTTGAGTTGTTCTTACCCAAGATGGCCTGGCTTTGCTAGCAAGGGACTGTCCGTCCCTCGGGAGCTGGTCATCTTTTTCACACCTTGAGGCGGTGCACCATGTTAACTTCCCAGAGAGTGAGAAGCAATGGGAGACACGTGGATGTGAGAGAGAAGGTGGGAAAGGAAAACCAATAGACGCTAGTGCTGGTGAATCTATTCAGGAAAAGATAACATTTGCAAAATCAGGATCTGGAAATTCACCCTTTAAATTTTTATTGCCATGTACCCTCAAGTCTTCAGGAAGCCCTCCACGTGCTGGCTTAAATTGCAGCTGGCTCAGTCAGAAAAGTGTGCGACTCTTGATCTCGGGGTTGTGAGTTCGAGCCCCATGTTGGGCGTAGAGATGACTTAAAAAAATAAAATCTTAAAAAAAAAGATTGCAGCCTGCGGTGCACAGAGCTGGGTGTGACGGGCTGTCCTGCTTAATTAACAGTAAAGGTCTCAAGACTATGTTGTCGAAACCCTTAAGGAAGCCCGGCCCTTTTATTGATCAGGAAGAGGAGATAGTCCTTCCTCATCTGCAGTCTTAAAAACTCCAAAAACCGGGGCACCTGGGTGGTTCAGTCGGCTAAGCATCTGCCTTGGGCTCAGGTCATGATCCTGTGGGGCTCCCAGCTCAGCGGGGAGTCTGCTTCTCCCTCTGTCCCTCCCCCCACTTGCTGGCGCGCGTGTGTGCGCTCTCTCAAATAATTTTTTTTTTAAGTTTAAAAAAAAAACCTTCCGAAATCAAATTTTAAGTTTACAGCAAACTCGGTGGTGGTAGTGAAGCCTGACCTGAACTAGCAAGGGGCCGTTCACAGTCTCTTTGTCATAGGCATTTGTGCCGCTTAGTAAAATATCCTTGGGTTTTGGAGCAGAAACCTTCCTGGCTTTGATTACAAGGTGGTGCTCAAGGTTCTGCTGGGTGTAACCTAATACGTTGAACCTTTCTAAAATCTGAAATCCTGAATTTCAAAAACGTGTGCCTCCAAGGATTTTTAGATCAGGGATTGAGACCTACGGCGCAAGACCATGAGTTTTGTTACATCAAGAACGCCCCTGGGGGCGCCTGGGTGGCTCAGTCGTTGGGCATCTGCCTTCGGCTCAGGTCATGATCCCAGGGTCCTGGGATCGAGCCCCGCATCGGGCTCCCTGCTCCGCGGGAAGCCTGCTTCTCCCTCTCCCTCTCCCCCTGCTTGTGTTCCCGCTCTCGCTGTCTCTCTCTCTGTCAAATAAATAAATAAAAAATCTTAAAAAAAAAAAGAACGCCCCTGTTCCGAGACACCTCGGGGGAACTCTGTAACAGTAATGACCCCTTTAAAATATGGATAATGGTTTATAAGAATTGGCTCAAGCTAGATCTTCTTGAGGTCATCTAGGAATTAACTTTTTTAAGGGTGGCTGGTGCTAAATTTTTCTTGGCCGCTTAAATCAGTGGGAGAGAGTGGCCAGATTTCCGCAGGTTAGAAATCTTGCAGCTTGGAGTTCTGTTGGGCTTTGGTGCTGGTGCCTTTCCATGGACAGCAACACAGCTGTGGGGAGAGTTACTGAAGCTTCAAGGCCACCTAGTCCGGCCCCTAGGGAAGGCAGGCAAAGGGACTGAGGGCCGGCTTTGTCAGCATAGCAGCAGTGTTGCGTCTGGAAACCACAAAGGCAGGAGAGGACAGCTTGGTGAAGCCCGCACTTCCCGCCTTTCGGGTCACATGAACCACCTCCACCGTCGGCCCATTGCGCGTGGGCAGGGGGCCGCTCTGAGCGCTTTCCCCACGGCCTTTCCGCAAGAACTGTGTGATTTCTGAACGGCTGAGAGTCTCTGAGGGATATTTCTGACCGAAAAGGAGAAAAGGGGGGGAAAGTCATTCTCTGCGGTAAGGCTGCTGGTTCTAAAGCAGCCAAGTGCTGCTCTCTCTGGGGGAACCCCGTGGTGTAATTTTCCGCCGTGAAGAGAGCTCTATTTTCCCCTGTGAGGACATGCTGCACAGTCTTCCTGGTGACACGTAAGAGGCAGGAAGGAACTTCATTCTGGTGCCTGCGCATCCCCAGCCTGTGGTGTTTGTCAACACTAATATATACCATTCGCTACAAAATCATCCTAGGCTCAGAAACATCAGGAAAGCAGCCTTCCTCAGCGTCCTGGTGCGCACTTGGCCCAGAGAGGCCAAGGTGTGACCTGGTTGCAGCGCCACCCCCACCCCAGCTGGAGCTCCCAGGTGTTCCCTGGGCTCAAGTCAGCATGAATGCTGAGCAGGCCACAGTCCGTTTTCTCGCAGAATTCACCCCTCCTGTGGTTCTCAGTTCGGGAAGGAGCTTTGGGGATTTCTCACATCACCTTCTCAGGTCTCCTGGGTTAGTTGATGTTCTTTGGGAAGGCAACAGAAAGAACTCTCTGCTGCCTTAAGACACATAATTTATTGGAAGGAATTAAGAAGGCTGAGGGAAAAGTTCAACAACCATGTCCTAGGCTGCACAGGAACCAGAATTCCCAGGACCTGGGCCACTGGTGGCCCGATGCCTGCTTCCTGGAGCACTGCTTCACCCTGACCCAGCGACTCCCAGGCGCCCAGTTTCCCATTTCCATGAGACAGGACTTGGTTGTCCCAGCTTGGAGTGGACACCTGTTCACGTGACGGATACTGAGCGTTCCACATACGTTAACTCATATAAACCTCAGGACGACCCTGTATGTGGTTACCATTATTCTCCCAGTTGCCCAGATATGAAAGTGGAAGCACAGAGCGGTTAACTAACTCAACCGAGGCCATGAGGCTGGACCTCGCAGGAGTCTGGCTCCGCATCCCACCCATACTTGGGAGCACCCTCCCACTCACCTGGTGCAGACAGGACCACTGGGGGCTATCTTGGGAGCCAAGGGCTGTTCCCAGGGTGGCGGATCCTTGAGAGCAGCTGGGCAGGGCTTGACCAGAGAATGTCCCTCGTGGCTCCAGGCCACACCTCAGGAGCTTGACCTTCAGCCTTGCCTTCTGCCACCCTTAGCACTTTATTCATGTCAGCAGGAGGAAATGATTCTCTTCATCTCTTGGTCCCCTGCAGGATCCCCTCCCTTATTTGGGGGCCCCCTGCTCTGACCCAGTCCCCATTCCCTGTCCCCGCAGTGATGATAGCAAGCACATACTGGGCTTTGTCACACCATCTCATCTAAAACTCCTAACCTCTTGCAGACTCAGGCTGTGGATACCTTGAGCTCAAGCTTTCTTTCTCCCTTGAATGTAATTACCACAGAATGCCCAGAGAATTGAAATAGCTGAGAGACAGTATCACCAGCTGGGGCCCAGACAGCAAGCACAGTTTGGGACCTGATACAGAGCAACAAGGACTCCAGCTCCATCCCAGTAACACTGTGGCCGAGTGAAGGGGAGACCCCAAAGCTCTGCCAATAGCCCACATTTGCACTTCTACCATCCCTTACCCGGCAGTGGGTCCCCCAAAGCCCTCCACCCTCCTGGTTTCGGAGGGCCTTTGAGAGTCTGACTCAGTTTGGCTTTTGCACAGCTCTGTATGCCTGGGCCTGGCGGGCTCTCTCCTGGGGTGCTTGTTGCTAATACAGATTTCCAGGCACCCCACCATGGGGTTCTAATTTAGTGGGTGGGATGGGAGGACCCCCATGTGCCAATGCACGGTCAGATTGGGGGTCTCTGTGAGGACCCACTGGCTCCCTCCCCAATGAGACCGCTCTCCCTTTCCTGGAGGGGGGCTGCGACCTGTGGGGCAGGGAGGCTCCCCGTGGACTTCAGTGTGCACCCCTAGTGTCCGGTTTCCCAGACCTTCACTCTTCATGTTTCTCTCCCTCAGCAATTAATCAGTGTTCTCTCTTGCCGGCCCCAGCCGTCTCCTCTTTGACTTTGATTTCATCCCCTTGGGATTTGTAATAGAATTGATCCAACCCAGTTACGTCAAGGGCCTGCTCATTGTGATGTGTGCCTCGTTCATGCTTAGCGTCCTCTACCCCAGCCTTGCCCATTTTATCCTAGCGACCATAGGTTGTTTTTTCCTCAGGACGTGTGTGGTCCTTTTCCTGAGGCTCTGTTATCTGTACCCTGCTCATCTGTCACTGCGTCTCTGGATCTCGGCAGACAGCCCTGGACAGGGCCCGAAGAGTTACAGAGACCTCTCCTCCTTTCCTCTGTTACCTCCTTGTGCTTTTCAGTGTCCCCAGACAGAAATTCTAAAGTCCAGCGAGCTGGGACCTGCTCTCAACCGGTGGGACGGGCCAAAGCCCCAGGGAGCCAGTCCAGAGTCTGGGCAGACTCTCAGCTGGGTCTTGGGGAGATGAGGCTGATGTTGATGGGCCGGTCTCGGGAACATGCTCCTCCTTCCTGGAAGACCACCCTTGTTTTCCTAGAGGGGCAGGGTCTTCCGGGCAGTGGAGGGCCTGTGACCAGTCTGTGACCCATGGCTCTTCCCCACACAGTCAACACCAGTCAGCACTCGTCCTACAAGTCCAAGTCCTCCAGCAACGTGACCTCCAGCAGCGGTCACTCTTCAGGGAGCTCTTCCGGAGCCAACGCATACCGGCAGCCGCGGCCGGGACCGCATTTCCAGCAGCAGCCTCTCAATCTTAGCCAGGTGAGTGCCAGCCGACCCTGCCTCCCCGGCCTGCACATCACCCAGATCCCCGCAGTCCGCTGGGGGCCTCCGCTTCCGAGCAGGCGGCCGCGGCCGGCCCTCCCCCCGCTCCCAGGGCCGCAGCGCCCTGGTGGCCGGACGGGTCTTCTCGCTGCCTTGGGTTGCCCTGGGGGAAGTTGGTCTCACGGGGTCCCGGAGAGCCAGCCGCAAGTAAGATAAGTTGTCTCGTGGCGCAGGGCACTCGGTGGCACAGTGCCAAAGCTTAAAAATAGGGTGGCCCACGTCTTGCTCTTTCAGCCTAGCAGAGGCTAAAACACTGTGTCCTGGCCCCGTCAGACCAGGGCACCCGGGAGGACCTGCAGGCTGTTGGGCTGACTGGTTCATTGCCATGTGGGAGGCCAGGCCACACGCGGGGAACCCCAAACCAAGGGCAAGAGGGGACTTGGAGCAGTCGGGTGGTGTTGAGATGGGATCATACGTGAAGCAGAGTGTCCTTGGCACAGCGGCTTGTGTGTCCAGGGTCTGCGTCAGGTCTGAATTGCAGAGCGGCCTCGGGGGCCTCTTTCCTCAGAAGCCATGGAAGTGAAATAAATGGGGAGCTTGTGTTCCGAAACCCCGCATCCGAAGCGGTGCGCTTGGTAAACTGAGGCCGCGTCTCTGTGTCGTCAGGACTCCGGTTCTCTGGAAGAGAGGGCTCTTTCATGGGCACCAATATAATTTCAAACAGCAAAGGTTCCAAGAGCCTAGGATTTCAGAGAACAAGATTTTACAGTGAGGGAGAAGGCAGTGATCACTCAAAGAGGGGCTCCGTTGACACTTCACAGCTGCGGTAGGCCCTTAGGAGAGCTCCTGTCTCCTGTTACCTTTTCAAGCTGGCTTGAGCTGCGCGTCATCCAGCCAGGGACTCCGGGGACTCGGGGGACTTGGGAAAGCGTTCCTTTCTCAGTCCAGGCTAATGTTGCTTTCCCAGCCTACGAGGGAGGCATCTTCCCTCCCTCCTGCGGCTTCTGGCCTCCTCCCCTCCTCTCCTCTGCCCCCTCCCTCCTCCCCACTCCCTGGTCCTCTCCCCCTCCAAACCCCCACCTCACCTTCCTCCCCTTCCTCTCTTACCCCCTTCTCACTTCTCTCTCTTTCCCTCTTCCCTCCCTACTTCCCCCCCTCCCCCTCCCTCCTCCCTCCCACTTCTTCCTCCTCCCCTCCTCACTTCTCTCTCCTCCTCCTCTCCCTCCTCCCTCCCTACTTCCCCCTCCTCCCCCTCCCTCCTCCCTCCCACTTCTTCCTCCTCCTTCCCTCCTCCCCTCCTCACTGCCCTCCCCCTCCTCACTTCTCTCTCCTCCTCCTCTCCCTCCTCCCTCCCGCCTCTCCCTCCTCCCCCTCCCCTTTCTCGCCTCCCACGTGTCTGGCCCCCACTGCAGCCCTCTCCTGGTGCTTCTCCTCCTCCAGGCTCAGCAGCACATCACCGCAGAGCGCGCCGGGAGCCACCGCCGGCAGCAGGCCTACATCACTCCCACGATGGCTCAGGCCCCGTACTCCTTCCCGCACAGCAGCCCCAGCCACGGCACTGTGCACCCCCACCTGGCCGCCGCTGCCGCCGCAGCCCACCTCCCCAGCCAGCCCCACCTCTACACCTACACGGCGCCCGCGGCCTTGGGCTCCAGCGGTACCGTGGCCCACCTGGTGGCCTCCCAAGGCTCGGCACGTCACACCGTGCAGCACACTGCCTACCCGGCCAGCATCGTCCACCAGGTCCCCGTGAGCATGGGCCCCCGGGTCCTGCCCTCGCCCACCATCCACCCGAGTCAGTATCCAGCCCAGTTTGCCCACCAGACCTACATCAGCGCCTCTCCAGCCTCCACCGTCTACACTGGATACCCACTGAGCCCCGCCAAGGTCAACCAGTACCCTTACATATAAACACTGGAAGGGGAGGGGAGGGAAGGGAGGATGGCCAGAGGGGAGGAGGGAGGAGGGGCGAGGTGGGAGCTGGGCTTTTTATACTGAAGATGCGGCACACAGACAATGCACCGGGGCAGGGGGGGCAGGGGGCAGGGACAGACACAAATGAAACTTGAACTAGGAGGTGGGGGGACTTAGAGCAGAGAAGAGAACATTTTAAAAAAGAAGGGATTGAGGAGGGGGAAATCTATGCTTTTTACTTTAAAAAAGAAAAAGAAAAAAAAGAAAACGTCAGTAACAAAAAAACACAGCTCACAAACCCATTCTGCACCAAACTGGAAAGGAGAAGAAGAGAGCAACGGAAGCTTATGGAAGTGGGGGGGGGGCCCCAGTTTTCGAAGAACTTTATCTATGAACTTCTCAAAGATTATTTTCATATGGCGGCAAGTGACGTTTAAGAATTTGCTGTCGGGGACACCTGATACGGAAATCCAATAGATTTTTAATTATGGGACATAAGAATTAGGGATTTTTCCAGAACTCTAAAGGGTCAGCAGCCCTCTAGAAGGTCAGGCCGTGGCCTGAGGTGGTTGATATTTGGGGGGTGGTGTAGGGTTGGCCAAGCCCAGTTCTGGCTCGTGTGTCAGGACTGATGGGGGGTGGCCAGGCTGAAGGAAGCCCCCTCCAGCAGAGGGCACAGTTTCTCTTCCTGAGCACTGGATAAATCCCTAAGCAATCCTCCAGCGTCATTAATAATGTGTGTTGCAAACTTTAGTTATTTTTTTTTTCTTTTCCTTTCCTGAAGATTTCTTTTCTCTTTGAATCAATCCCTAGTCACGTAGCATAGGGCTCGCGGTCTTCGCCGACACCCTAGTAGAATGTAGCAGTCAGCACCCCTGTTTTCTACTTTGTGTTCAACTCCACTGATACCAATAGACTATTCCTCAATGTAATTGCACAAAAAAAGAAGTGATAGAACATAGGCATGTTAGTGTGGTGGTCCAGGTGTGCGAGCGTGAACGAACGTGTGCGGGTGTGAGCGTGGATGCCACCCTCCCCGTGTGTCCCTCGGCGCCGCCATCTCGGCTCTCACATCCTTGCTTTGACACCGGTCCCTCCTAGTGCCTTACCGACCCACAGACGCGGGGTGAGGGTTTACTTCCATGGTACTCCAAGAAGCTGACTGAGGCGAGTCACATCATCTCAGCTCTTCTTTTGTGCTGTTGTAACATTTTATGCTGGTCTTTCCTTGTTTTCTTTTTTTTTTTTTTTTAATTTAATTTTATGTTATTTTAATGCCTTTTGTCTTTTTGGAGTTGTCTGCTAGCAGAGAGGCATCAGGGAGCTGGCGGGAGTGGGGGGTGGTGGAGAGCCCAGGGACCTTGAGAGAAATGTGGGCGATGGCTGGGCGGGGGGACCAGTCTGACTTTTACTTTGGAGACTGAGAGCAAAAGAGACTCCCCACCATGTACCCTCCCCCCACTCTGCCTCAGTTCTGCCTAGGGGGCCGGCTCTTAGCCTGTGTGGGAGCAGAGGTCCCGTGTGTGTTGTGGGAATGTGGGCCTTGCCAGGCGGCTGCCTCCTTCCTGATAGGAAAGGACAGAGGAGGGGAGGCCACCCACAGCCTCTGGGCCTGGCACCGCCTTCCCGTGTCTACGAGGTGGACCCAGCCCCAGGCCCTCACATCCAGCCCGCGCTCCTGCACGACCCCGCCCATCTGTCTCGTTCCGCTGGCTGTGTATTGCTCTCACAGTTTTGCTAGATCCTTCCCTCTGTAGACAACCATCAACCTTTGTTTGCTGCTGCATCTTTCCTTACATTACCGGGCCTACCTACCCAAGACTCGACTTCGTTTTTGGTTTTAGAGGGGTCTGGTGGGCAGAAGGTTGGAGGGAAATTTTGAGGGTGACCAGGGAGTCTTACACTGCACTTTGGAACACTCCCATGGCACTTAAGTTTCCAAAGAAATTTGCCCTTTGCCCTCTTTGCACCACTGATACATTCTGGAAGTTTTCTCAGGCTTTGAACACTGCTGGGGGTGGGTGGAGTAGGGATGGCTCCATTCATAGCAAAATTACTCTTGAATACATGAATGTTGGGAGACTCTGTCTGGTCTTAGATGGGGCTTAGAAGGGTGACCCTAATTGTTTGATTCCTGATGCTGAGTCCTAACTGATCCCAAAGCCAAGTTTCCAAGGTGCAAAGAGATGGCTCCCAGTTTTGGCAGTTTGTCCTCATGCCCCCCGCCCCCTGCAGTTTCCCTTAACCATCTACTGTGAACAGTGGTGTTATAGTGATATCCCACCTAATTCAGTAACGAAGCCAGGCCATTACCTTAGCTGTTAGCTGTGAAACGTGAAATAACTCTGGAAATTCCCCCTCCCCACCCATGAATTCTACTCATCTTACAAAGAAATAGGTCCCCGAACTGGAACCAGCTTAGTCCAGGCCTGACGCTGGAAGGAAGGACACCATGACCCATTGGAGGCACACACGCAGGCAGGTCCCCGGCTGGTCCCACAGGTCGCCAGCCGGTGAGCCTGTGAGAGGCTCGCCCCAGAGCAGGACACTCTCCTCGTGGACCCACCAACTGATCGACTGATGGATACTCCCCTCCTGGGACATGGGGAAGGGCCATCTCTCTGAGACCATGGGAAAATGGCCAGTCCAGAGAGAGTGGGGGAGAAAAGTCTTCAGAGGACACATGAGCCAGAACCCTCTCAGAGCTGTGCCAGCCAGGAAGATCCACCTGTTCCTGACTTGGCAGCAGCCAGATGGCAGCAGAACCCCATCACATCTCCTCCTGACCAGGACAGAAGTCTCGGCTGCAAATGAGACCGCATTGGCCTTGCTGGGTAGCATCCGGATCCCCTTGCACAGTTGACTCCCAGAGCTCCTATGGGGAAAGACAACGTAGCCTTCCATTTTAAAGAAAATTACTTTATCTACTTAAGTTGGAAGTCTCTTATTCTTTTACCTGATACTTTCTTTGTGTTCTTCCAGATCAGGAATGAAAGTTCCATGCTGCTCATAAAGATAATATTATTGTACTCATTATTTTGGTTATTACCATTGTAATTATTATCATTATCATCATGTTGATATTTTAGCTGGGGTTTTAAATGCACATTTAGTCCCAGTATCTTTGTGTTTTCTCTTTAATATTTAAATTTATTTTATTATATCTGTGAGTGTATGAGTAGGCAGGAAGGACATGCAGATGTCCAGTTTTGTTAAACAAACAAACAAAACAAAAACAAAAGGAAAGACCCAGGAATTAGGAAAATTATTTCTGTCATCTCTAGTCCGCAAAGAGCTGTCAAGAAAGATCCACCACAGAACAAACGTTTGAAGAAGAATCAAGGCCTTTTCTGTGTGCAGGCCAGATTGGACTCTTGACATCATACTTTCCTAGAGTCTCAGTGGCCTTGGAAGAGTTCTGAGGTGGCATCTCCAAGGCCCAACCCTTAGCTGTGGTTCTTTCCCACATTCCATGTGCTCTCTTGTGCTTCTGGAATCTGCTAACTAGATTCTTGGCCTGCCTCACATCTGATACTGACCTGTCATGCAAAAGAAAGCCCCTCTGCCCAGAGCTGCCCCACATGCCCTTCCTTTTCCCATCGGTGCACCAGGAGTGTGGCTTTATCTCCTTCAGTGTATAGACGACTGTCCCCTCCTAGAAGCCACTGGCTGGAAGGACGGACTTAAGGGTGCTAGGCAGGTGGTACCTTCCCCTGGGGAATTTCAGTCTCACTCCCCCTCCTTCCACTCGCTGACCACACTGCCCACTTCTCCAGTCTCTTCCCCCTTTCTCCCCCAGTACCTCTTCTCAGCGCACAATTCTAGGGACAGAACTAGGAGCCAAAAAAAGGTAGAGGGACGGTAAGAGGCCAGAAGAACACTGACAGTCAAGCAGCTTCTCCGACATTGCAGGCAGGGCCCCCCCTGAAAGCACTGGTCAACGGAGAGGTGCAGCGGGGCCTCGAGGCCATCCCCTCAGTGCACCCTGCCTGTGTGTGATGGGCTTTTTAAAATTGGCTCAAGGTGCCCACACACTGCCCACCAAACCCAGAAATACGGGCCTTAAGTTGAAATGCTGGTTTTGCTGAAGCTTAACTGAGACGCTGTCAGGCCGTGCTCAGCCCTGGTGCCGCCCAGCAAACAGGAGCGCATCCTCCCTTCATCCCCACCCGCCCTCCTCTTCCGGTCCCCAGCACAGAGCTGCAGGATCAGAAGACCCCCATGCGAGAGGCCAGGTTCCGCGTGCGCTCCTTCACACTTGCCCGGATCTCCCGTCCCTTCCTCCAGCTCTGAGTCACCCTGGCAAATCGGATGAATCAAAGCCTGCCTGTCCCTAGGACCAAGCTCTCAAGTGGAGGGATGCCAACCTCGTCTTTGTTGAGACCACAAATGACCTAGAGCATCATCTGTTCTTCAACTGCCTCTAGATAAAGAAGCACAGCAAAGCTGAAGAGGGGAAGATTGAAAAGGACAGGTCAAGGAGAACCATGTACTCGTAGCCTCAGGAAGTCCAGGGGGATGTGTTTCTGCCCAGTGGGTTCCTGCTGACCCGTCTGGGCATGTGCACCCATGTCTCTGCACTTAGTGCCTCGTTCATGACGTTCTGGCTGTTTCCAAGGGAAGGGGTGAGCAGGCCGACGGGTAGGAGTCTGAGGCTTGATGCCAATTAATACTGTGAAGTGGTGCGTGTGGTTGATCGAGTTCAGAGGGCAAGGAAGGGTCGAGGCAAACGGACGGTTGTCTCCTGGACTGTTTGCATGCTGGTCTTACTGGCGGTGAGGGGCTTGCAGGCTGGGGGAGCCATCTGGCCTTGCCCTCTTCACCCTGGAAGACTCAACCCGCCCAAACACCAGATTGTTGCAAGTAAGGAAGGGAAGGGGAGATTAGCACAGCTGCTAACAGGCTGGTTTCCCTTGACCAGATCTCTGGAAGTGCAAACACTCATTTTTGAACAAGCTAGTGGCGGAGGATTTGGGTTGTGTGAGTGTGTGTGTGTGAGTGGAGCAGACTTTCTTGGAAACTGGAGGAAGGAGATGAGGAGGCTTAAGGAGCTACTGCTGACGGGCTGTGGTTGGTGAAACGAGGTGTGTCCGTGAGCTGGCCCCAGCTTTCATCCCAGGCCCTCTCGGGTGCTGGGGCCAGGGTGGGGGGTGGGGCCCCTGCTGGCCTGCCCAGGAGCTGCCAGGACAGATCACAGAAAGAAGAAGATAATGAGGTGCCCTCGGGTAGCAGAGGGAATTCAGCAGGGAGGCAAGGACTCTTTCCACAGGCCTGGCCTGGGACTTCACAATGCCAGCCTGAGCCATTTTGCCAGGAAACATTCCAGCCCTGGAAGCACTTTGCATGCTGCTATCTTGCTGATGTGTCTCGCAGATTTCAGCTGGGGAAGCCTCAAAACTGAGCAGGCCAGAGCTGTCCTTACCAAACTGGAAAGGAAGGTGGAACTGTTCCTTTCTTTAGCCAAAGAACCCTTCTCAAAGACACCTCCAGATGGGGACAAAATGGCATCCCTCTCTTTCCTTTCTGGGCAATAATGACATCATCAGTGATCCATTTGTCTCTCTCTTTCCTCTCTCCTGACGTGTGTTTCTTTCTTTTTTTTAAATGGCATTTATTTCAAACTGTATCCATCTTTAAGAGGAGTGGGGATTGGTAACCCTAAATGCTGCTTTCGGGAAGCTGGAGGCACCGCACGAATACGTGGGCGTGCCTGAGGTCATGTTACCCCGGGGACTGCCCAAGCGGACCCTCCGCCGGGAAGTTCGGCTGCGTCAGGGGGCAGATGCACGAGGGAGCTACGCTGGGCGTGACAGTGCTTTTCCACTTCGATGCCTTAGGACTCTCACTCCTAATCTCCACAGAATAGACTCAGTCGAATCTCAGTCAGGCTACTGGAGAATTGAAGATGGTGAAACGACACTTAAAGGCAATAGAAACCTTCCAAAGGCTCTTGGTGCCCTTGTGCACTAGGGTGGCCCAAGGTGGTAGAGGTCTCTCACATCTTTCTCGAGGCTTCCAGAAGTTCCGGAGAGCCAGCTCCAAGGCAGTTGCCCCTTTGAGATCCGGTGAGCGTTTACAGAGAAGTGACCCTCCTGCGGAGCACACTTTCTCAGAGACCCTCCCAGTCCCCCACAGGTGCCCCCCTACCCTAGACGGCCATGTTAGGGCAGCATGTTGACTGTGTCCCATTTGTTAACACTTGGGCGTCCCTGAAGGAAGTAGGAGAAGGCATTTGCTGAAGCCTTTACCCGTAGGGAGCTGACGCGCTCAGAAAGCACATGTTAAAGGAAAGGAAATATGATGGTGGTCCAAAATCCCCCAAGTTTCTAGTGAAATTTTTGTTAATTGGGACTTCGCTGAGATATCATTTCGTTCTGCTTTTTTAGTTAACAGCAATGAGTGGCTTCATGTTTTCTGACAAACCATCTAATGATACTTCGGTTTACGTGTGCCAAACACTGTGCTAAAAATTGCTCATTGGTTATCTTGTTTCATTTAGTCTTCATAATAACAACTCTGCAAGGGGCCCCATTCATCCCTTTCCAGATGAGGCATGTGGCTTGGAGAGCTGGTGACATGCCCAGGGTCGCATGGCTAGTGAGAGAGCCGGGCCTTGAACCTGGGCCTGCCCAGCTCCAGAACCGAGCTCGCAGCCACCAGCCTCCTGGGCCACCTCGTGTGTGTGTGTGTGTGTGCGCGCGCGCGTGTGCACACACGCGCGCGCATGCACGTGAGTACAAAGAAAACCCTTGAAGGAATGTCACCCCTCGCCCTCCCTGCCCCATGCATGCAACCCAACAGAAGGTCTGAATGAAGAGGGAGCCCTGAATTGGATGCAAGTAGAAGGGGCAGAATTCATTTGACTTTGAGAGAAAATCTTAGGGGAGTTTCTTTTGATTCACAGTAGAATTCATTTTAGATTCCTTTCCGGTGTACCAACTAGCTTTAGTAGTGCTGCTACAACAAACTTATGAGTGAAGAAAAAAAGTTTTCTTTTTTCTTTAAAAAAAATAAATAAATTTTTTCTTGCTTATAGTTAATTCTAGAAAGGCAATACTAAAGGTATATATTTTTTTTAAAATGCTATTTTTTACTGCACTGATAAATATCATGACAACTCTGTTCTCTATAATCGATCCACTCTTCAGCTCTGGGTAGAACCAGATGCGGGATTCACACCAAATTTGTAAATACCGTGTGTGGGTCTGGTGTCCAGGAACTTTTTTCTTTGTGTAAAAAAAAAAAAAAAAAAACGGAGAAGGAGAAGGAGAAAAAACAAGATGACTCTTAGAGGAACCAAATAAGGGTTTCTTTGGAGATACCTTTCTCAAAGAAATGGAAAGAACGGTTATGTAAACAGAAAAATCAGCCAATTCTTAGGGTATAAGGAAGGAGAGTCTCTTGCCGCAGTATGAGATTAATAGTAATACAGAAGCATTTTTAATTTGGTTGAGAAGTGACAAGAATTTAGAAATGCTTTAGGATGAGATTTTTAATTTTTTAGAAAACTATTATCATTGTGTTATGAAACATCTCCTCAGTTGTCTTGGGTGGGTTTTTTGTTTCTTTTTTATTTAAAAAAAAAACAAAAACTTCTTTATTGACTGGCTCCAGGCTTGTTTGCCTAAATTCTTAGGTAGTTTACACGAGTTCTAGAACCTTCTAGGACTTTGACTCCATTGGAAGCAAACCCAACTAATCAGCATTTGAGATCCTGGTTGGTTTCAATAGGTATTCTGGAATTCTGACAGAACACCTAAAGATTTTTTTTGAAGAAGGTTTTAGATACATTATCTTACACAAACTGTGACCTAATGGCAATAATTACCTCAAATGTGGGCATTCATCCTGGTTTTAGCCTTTTTTGAAATCATGTAGCCAGCTTGATCTTGGGATTTAAAAGACTATGAACTCTGTGTGGGCTGAAAATAATGATTAATGCACACCCTGGTCATTGTTGCTTAAGTGAATTCTGAAAATAGCTGATCTTTACATCAAAAGTGAAACCAAGGAAGAGATTATTCTTTGTGTGTTGTAATGAAATGTGATGATATTCAAATGCACATGTTAAGTATATATGTTTTTAGCTACTGTACAATGCTGTTAGCCTTCTAAGATATCGAGAGAGCCACATTTTAAATGCGTAAACTAAGTAATTGTGGATACTTAAGCATATTTCTGGCTACGTTTTATAGTTAAAGTGTTTTATAGTTTACATTTAAACTGGTACTTTTTAAAGAAAATTTCTGTTTATAACTGACATCTTCAAACCCCAGCGATCTCTTTCGTTGGAGGCCCTGCCCCTCCAAGGCAGGTGTTTTCTACCCATACTGTTGTGTAGCCCAATATAAGCTTTTCCCTCCACGTTACTTACTGGTTTCCATGTGAACGCGAGAGAATGTGAAAGGATTTCTGGATTGAGTGGGAAGGGGTGAGTCCATAGCCTGGGCCAGATGTGAAGACCTCATGCCATGTTGTATCAACACTTGTCTCCAAAGAGGCCTTCTCTTTGACATCGTGGAAGAGGCAGAGAGAACAGATACCTGGTTCGTTGATTTTGTCTTGATCTGAATGTTTAATTTCTATCGATCCACTGACTTCCAGTCACCAGGCAGAGTAGAAGACACTGGGATGCAGGCGGCCCTGAAGGTGCAGCTGCTATTTCTGGGCCTCTGGCAATATTCTGACCGGCGTTTTGCAAGGGGGGAGCCTCACACCCCTACGCCCACATTCATTGGCTGGGCTTTCCATAGACCTGCTGTCACTAATTCCTTTTCTCCTTTAAAACAAAATAAATGCAAAAGGATGTGTTTACTTTTGACTCTTTGTCAAACTCAGATTTGAAGCCTAGGTCGGTGGGTGGGACGGGGGAAGCTAGATTCCTCCCTAGAGACTGATTGCTGCTGAGCAGGGGTGGGGCTGGGGAACCTAGGGGCAGCTGGGGGAGGGGTGTGGGTGACTGCGACCCCTGGAAGTAGAGATGGTCACTGTGACGCTTCAGAGAGTGGGCCCCACTGTCTCCTAGGAACAGGCTGGAACATGCTGGTGTCCCGAAGAGTTTTGGTTTGTTTCTTGTTTTCTCTCGTACCACAACCCAAGTGCGGAGGACCTACTGTGGTAAAGGGCATTCCGTCAGCAGCTAAGACTTTGCAAACTGCAGAACACCCGGGACCAGGGAACTGTTTGTGTGTGTTCCTTCGAATGCATTCGTGTTTTCCCTGTGACCTCTCTGTGGACCGTATGTTCTCGTGACAGGTTCTTGTAAGAAATGTTAGGGTAAAATATTTTCTTTTTAATCTCGCCCTTCCTCATAATACTCCTGCTTTCCCTCTGTTTGGTCTTTCCCTTTGCTTGAAACTCACCAAATTAATTTTATGTCACTGTCTTTGGGGCTTAACCGTATGTTTAAAAACTAGAAGCATAGGAATTAGCTTCAAAAAAAAAAAAAAGTAAATACGCTGCATCTGAAACTCGCTCCCTCTAGTGTCCTTTGAACCGCTCCCCACAGATCTCCCCTGGCGCAGCCTCCCCACTCCTTGTCCGGATCAGTGTCTCCGGGGCCACCCCCGCCTCCACCCCGCTGCCACCACAGCCCCCCAGCCCCCAGGACACTCTCAAGAGCCAGGAAGAAGGACCCACCTGGCCTCATGAGCAGTGGTCTTGCCTCCCTGTTAGATACTCACCTGCTTGGTGGAAGGGGCAACGGATTTATCGTTATTATTATCATTATTATTAATTATTATTATTATTATTATTATTATTTTAATAGTTTTCGGCTCAGGTTATAAGGAAGAACTTGGGAAGTGGAAAGTGACTTGACCATGCCCATCCTTTGTAGCTTTCTGTGACTTCTGAATGGAACATGAAGCGTTCCCCCCCCCCACTCGCCTCTCCTCACTTCCAAGTAGACACCCCCCACCCTCCCACCCCCCCGTGGGCGCTGCCTCCGCCTCGGGGTTTCCCCCCACCCTTTCACGCTCCCTCTCACTTTTGTGTTACTGCTCATTTAAAGCTGTCTTCCGTGGCTTTTCCAGGGCACAATCATTTCTGGCCCCCAAAGCATCTCCTCATCCTCTTTGTGTGCATTTTTTAACCAAATGAAGTAGACCAGAAAGTCCTACTTTGGGGCAGCAGACTTTCTAGTTTAGTAGAATCACTGTATAGATAGAGATGTTGATATATATGTTAGTGTATATATATATCAAACCAAATTTCTGATAGGACAAGTATAGCTTTATGGATGAGGAGGAAGAGGGGCTTTCAGAAGTCAGGCAGCAATGGCGTCGTAGACGAGCCCGGGGCCGGCCCCAGGCTGCACCTTCCCTGCGTGGGCCTGCGGCATGGCACCGGGTTCTCACCCCCCCGCCTCACCACAGCGGAGGCAGGTGGCCCCGAGGGGGGCCGCCGCTCTCTCTGGGTCCCCAGCCTCCAGGGCACAAATGAGTGAGGGGGGACGGCAAATCAGAACGACTGGCATTTTCCATCCCATTTTGCGTTGACCGCATGTATTGAGCTTCAGCTTGTGCCATATCACGTTTCCAAAAGCGGATCTATTAGGATGGAAAGCGACAGGATCTGTACACATGTTTACCTTTCAACTGCCCATGAATTCCGGACACTGGATAGAAAGACTCACTCCCCAGAATGAGAGCCGGGAAGAGGAGACCCGGTGATGATTGGTCACCAGTCCAAGGAACATGGCTCCCTCCCCAAGGTCACCTTGCCCACATCTTCCTCCACCAGGTCATCTCAGCTCAGTAGCCCTATGAAAGCCCCGGTCTGTTGTGTTCCTTCACTGTACGGTTTCTGTAATGAAAAGTGTTAATCCATGTTAATCTTTGTGAAAATTATTGCGTGCAACAGTATTTTCTCGTGTACCTCTTTCTCCTATGTGAATTGTCCCTCTTTTCTTTTTTATTTATAAATGTCTACTTTTTTTAAAAAACAAACCAATGTGTTGTAGACCTATATGTAACCTATTCCTTAGTCTCATATTATAGGTATGTTATAAGAATGGATATTTTACTTGGCTTTAGAATGTTTTACAAGAAAAATAATTCTTAACTGATCAAGTCCTTGCTACTAAAATGCTTGTGTTTTTCATCATGATGTCGTGTGCTTCTAAATTAATAATCATTTTCGTTGTAGAAAAATGGAGTGAATTTATATTAGTCTTGGAAACTAATAATAGCATTGTAAATTTATGAGATGATTTTAACAGAAAAAAATTATAGAAGAATATAGTTATTTTAATTGTAATATTACTAACTGTAGGGTGAGAAAGGGGGGTCCCGTTGTGGTGAACTATGTTATAGCTTGTTACTCACAGTTTCTTTTTGATCATTTTTTCGGTCTCTGAGGTGAAACGAGTTATTAATTAAAATTTGTAAACTCACATATGCATATTGTATATGTGTAGAAATGTAATCACACTTTGTCTTGGAATTACATTAAACTGTTTGGAATCACTGTACACTTGGCCTGGCATGCTTATTTCTTCTAGAACCAGACTAGTTCTATAAGACTAAAGAGGTTACTGGGGAGTTATCTAATAACCCTTCAGAAATCGTTTAATACCCCCTGAACGCGTTCATAACCCACCCACCTCACGTACGGTCTGCCAAGATGACTGTGGATGGCTGTAGAGAGAGGGCCTCACGAGGAGGGCCCACCTCGTCTGTTGGGCAGTCATCTCCACCATCATCCCAAACAGAAGCTCTGTACCTGTTAAACAATAACTCCCCGTTCCCCTCCGCGCCCCCCAGCCCTTGACACCCACCCTTCTGTTTTCCGTCTCTGGGTACCTCAATGGAAGTGAGATCCTACAATATTTGCCTTTTACTTGTTTGCCCTGGCTTATTTCATGTACCAGTGTTCTCAAAGGTCATCTATTTTGTAGCATGTATCAGAATCTCCTTCCTTTCTAAGACTGAGTAACATCCCATTGTATGTAAATGCCAAACTTTGTTTATCCATTCATCTATTGTTTTGTGTTTGGGTTTGTCTGTGTGTGTATGTGTGTGTGTATTTGGGTTTTGTGAATAATGCTGCCACGGATATTGGTACAGAACTATGAATCCCTGCTTTCAGTTCTTTTGGATACATACCAAGGAGCGGAATTGCTGGATTATCTGGAAATTGCTAACTTTTTGAGGAACCGCCAAACGTATCCCCAGTGACTCCACTATTCGGCATCCTCACCAGCAACGCACAGGGATCCGGTGTCCTCCCCCGGCACTCTTAGCCTGCCTTCCATTGCCAGGGTCTGGGGCCTCAGGACCGCCCAGCTCCTGGCCCCCTGTTATCGGCGCCTCCTGGTTTCATAAGCTCACAAGCAACCTAAACCGCACCCACCTTCTCCCCTGTACCCTCAGCTTCCTGCCTGTGCTTCTGCCACACTTGCTTGCTGGACCCAGCCTACCATCCACGTCTCTGCTCCTACACCCAAGACCCCCGAACACTTTTGGAGAAGACCCCCCGAACGCTGTTGGACCTCAGCCGGCTTTCTGAGCTCATCGGCTCCCTCTGTGGCTAATCGGAAACCTCCCGCTCTCCCTGTGCCCTTGACTACAGGACCCCCCTCCTGGGCAGAGTAACCCAGAGAAATCCAGGTCTTCAGAGCCCCTCAACCCCCACCCCCTCCCAGAGTCCCATCTGCCTCCATCTACAGGCTTTCCCCCTGTGCAGAGCTCTTTCCTGCCAAGCATCCCTGCTTTGGACCTTCATGCTTTCCTCACACGCTGCCCTGCGAGAAGCAGCCTGTGTCCCTCGCTCGCTCCTGCCCTCACACTACTGACGAGGTCAGTGTCCCCCGTCCCTGTTCCCAACCCCTTCTGCATAGTTCTTACTAGGCTGTACTGTCCACATTTCTTTCCTGATGTCCCTTCTCCACAAAACCACAAAACCCTTGCAGGTAAGAGTGGGTAGTCAAATATTGGGCTAAATCAGCAAATTACTCAGCCCATTTTCTTCCCCCACCGACCTACCTTTCCATTGAATTCCAGGTCTCCCAGAATTCAGATAATAACAACAAAACCCTAAATGCAGCCAAGACGTGAACTTGCTTCAGTTCAACCAGCCAAAATTCAATTACATAAAAATCCACGAAGAAGATTTTGACAGAACTCCAGAACTCTTCAGCATATATAGTTTTTAAATTATAAATGCGCCACCGGGGATCATAGCCCATGGAGGTCATGCCCAGGAGCCTGTTCCAAACAATCAGGTGTATGTTTTTTGTGAGTCGGACTTGCCTGTTTTCTAACTATTCCCTAGAATATTTAAGCCTAAGCAAATACTAAATACGTGGAAAGGCAGAGAATACACTAAAGGCAAAGTATAAATGTAACACTGATGGGATGGTGACCTCATGACCTCATGACCTCTGAGCTTACCTGTTCAGTCCCTCTTTTCTATCAGTACTGAGCTTTTTTTTTTTTTTAAGATTTTATTTATTTGAGGGGCGCCTGGGTGTCTCAGTCGTTAAGCGTCTGCCTTCAGCCCAGGGATCAAGCCCCGCATCAGGCTCGCCGCTCCGTGGGAAGCCTGCTTCTCCCTCTCCCGCTCCCCCTGCTTGTGTTCCCTCTCTCGCTGTGTCTCTCTCTGTCAAATAAATAAATCTTTAAAAAAAAAAAAAAAGATTTTATTTATTTGAGAGCAAGCTCAAGCGAGAGAGAGAGAAGCAGACTCACCACTGAGCAGGGAGCCCGATTTGGGACTTGATCCCAGGACCCTGGGATCATGACCTGAGCTGAAGGCAGACGCTTAACCCACTAAGCCACCCAGGCGCCCCTGTACTGAGCTTTAAAGCAGATGCCTTGGATCCTCCCCCTGCCCCCACCTCGAACACTATGTCCTACTTGGGCCACGCAGAACTCCTCTTGGGAGATCTTTTTCCTCCAGCAGATCTCCCTTAGAAGATCTAATTCCATGACACTGTCTGGCATCGCTTGAAGGTGGAAAAAACCCACTGCCCAGCAACAACCATAATCCCCACCCCCTAGGGAAGAAACAGCAAGGAGCTGGACAGCCTGTATTGTGAGACCATCCAATTCCAGGTTTTAACTGTGGTTGTTTTGTTTGTTTTGTTTTGTTTTTTTCCTGGGCTGCAAGTTTGGCTCAACATCCGCAAATCAATCAATGTGATACACTACATTAATAAAAGAAAGAACAAGAACCATATGATCCTCTCAATAGATGCAGAAAAAGCATTTGACAAAGTACAGCATCCTTTTTTTTTTTTAAAGATTTATTTATTTATTTATTCATAAGAGACAGAGAGAGAGAGAGAGGCAGGCTCCCCGCTGAGCAGGGAGCCCGATGCGGGACTCGATCCCAGGACCCTGGGATCATGACCCGAGCCGAAGGCAGACGCTTAACCATCTGAGCCACCCAGGCACCCTGGCATCCTTTCTTGATCAAAACTCTTCAGAGTATAGGGATATTGGGTACATACCTCAATATCATAAAAGCCATCTATGAAAAACCCACAGCGAATATCATTCTCAATGGGGAAAAACTGAGAGCCTTCCCCCTAAGGTCAGGAACACGGCAGGGACGTCCACTATCACCACCGCTATTCAACATAGTACTAGAAGTCCTAGCCACAGCAATCAGACAACAAAAAGAAATAAAAGGCATCCGAATCAGCAAAGAAGAAGTCAAACTCTCACTCTTTGCAGATGATATGATACGTCATGTGGAAAACCCCAAAGACTCCACCACAAAACTGCTAGAACTCATACAGGAGTTCAGTAAAGCGGCAGGATATAAAATCAATGCACAGAAATCAGTTGCATTTATATACACCACCACCAAGACAGAAGAGAAATTAAGGAGTCGATCCCATTTACAATGAACTGTTGTTGCACACGTGCCGATCTAGAGGAGTCCTACAGTCTTTTCTCCTGAGACACCTGGCATTTGCCAGTGCGTCTACGACAACGCTGGAGTTAGGTACTCTTGGAAAGAAACCACTTGACATCTGCTTTTGTGTCTTTTTATGTTCTGTTTAAATGCCTTACGTTTTATTGCAGTGGCTCTCAGGATCCTTACCCACTGCAGACTAAGCCTGTGGACCGGGCTGCTCGAGAAAGCACAAAGTACCCGCTGCCGGATCAAAGGCCAGAAGGAAAACACGGATGTGTGGAGGAAGCCGTGCTGCGAGGGAAAAGAAACATCACCGGCCTTAAGATAGCACAGGCCTCGAGCACCGGGTGTTGTATGGAAGAGATGCATCGCCGAATTCTACACCTGAAACTAATATTACACTGTAAGTTAACTAATGGGGATTTAAATAAAAACTTGAGAAAGAATAAAAAATTTTTAAAAATAGCATTTGTTAAAAACGAAAAAAAAGAAAAGAAAAGAAAGCTAGCCCAGGTACCAGGGAGGGAGGCAGGCAGTAGGAGAGAAGGTAGTATTGACAGCATAGTGATTCGGGAGCATGGGAGTCCGCCATATTCGGGCTGAGTTCCAGGCACTGTTGTTCATGACCGCAAAAGCTGGGGAATCCCTTACTCTCTCGAGCCTCAGTTTTCATATCTGTAAAATGGGGATAATACTACATGTGGGCCAAGGCTGGCCGCATATTCCCCCAAAGCCAAGTCTTCCTCCTCTTGCTGAGCACACAGCTAGATTATATGTCCTAGCTCGCTCTGCAGATAAATAAGACCAGAATGGGCCCTAAAAAACGGTCACATATTTATCCACACTCTCTCCCCTCAGTTTCTGGCCAGATGTGGAAGATCCAGTGAAGGACTCTAAGGGCCTAGAGCACGGTGGGGCCTCCAGACAGAAGCAGCCCAGGACACTGAATGACTTGGTGGCCTCCTGATAAACCCACACGGGACAAAACCACAAAAGAGCAAGAAATAAGTATTTTTATTATATATATATATATATATATATATATACTTTTATGGTCTTATAGTTATTTTTTTGTTTTATTTCAAGTTAGTTGACATATAGTGTATTATTAATTATTAATTCGGAGGTAGAGTTTAATGATTCATCAGTTGCATAGAACACCCGGTGCTCATTCCATCACGTGCCCTCCTTGATGCCCATCACCCAGTTACCCCATCCCCCACCCACCTCCCCTCCAGCGACCTCAGTTTGTTCCCCAGAGTATTTTTATTATATTCAAGACTCTGAAATTGTTGTTTATTATAAGAACTAAGCTATCCCGACTAATACAGACATTGGTTCCTGAAAGTGAGGGGGTGCTGTAACCAACACCTAAACGAGAATACGTGGCATTGGTTTAGCAGCTAGACAGAGAAATAGGGAAATTGATTTCAGGAGCTGGAAAGGTGATAGCCCATGTTATGCTTTAATAAAACATGCCATAGGGGCACCTGGGTGACTCAGTCATTAAGCATCTGCCTTTGACTCAGGTCATGATCCCAGGGTCCGGGGATCGAGCCCAGCATCAGGCTCTCTGCTCGGCGGGAAGCCTGCTTCTCCCTCTCC